CATCCCAAGCTGTGGCTCTTCTGCTTCTAGGCTTGGCTCCTTCTTGGTTCCCAGACTTAGAAATAGAATTGTCTGATGAGATGAAAGATGTATTGCTCCACAGCTGAAAGTCAAATGCTTGATGTACTTACCTACAAAAATCGAAACAATTCCAAATTTGGTATCATTCTAAGAAATCAGACTCAATCTTGTCTTCCCTCCCTCTAATTTTAAACTATGTGTTAGACCACAAGGGGTCAAAACTTTCATTCAGCTCCTCTTTAAGGTACATCTTGCAGCCATAATGGCTATTCACCATCAGGTAAGTGAAAACTCAGTGTTCATTTACCCGCTAATGCTTTAAGGGCACTGGGAGTCTCTTTCCGCATGTTAGATTACACACTCCAACTTAGGATCTTAAACTTGTTCTCAAAGCTTTGACTAGACACTGCCTATGAGCACATGAAAAGTTGCTGTCTCTTATACCTGTCCATGAAGACAGCATTTCTAATTGCCATCACCTCAGCTAGGTGCATATGAAAAAAGCAGCCCTATTGACATGCCCATAATACACTCTTTTATAACAACTAAGTAATTCTGAGGCACCATCCCTAGTTTCCCCTAAAGTTGCCTCCACTTTCCATATGAATCAACAGATTCATCTTCCTGTTTTTGTTTTTGTTTTTGTTTGTTTGTACCAAAACCACATAGTGACAACAGGGAGGCAGTGCTGCATATGATAAATGTTTGAAAAGCAAGAGCATTCTACTTGGACAGGACTAAAGACTTCAGGAAGTCACCTAAACTCTTTCTTTCATTCATGGAAAGATCCAAAGGCTCTGCAATATCAGCTCAAAGACTATCCAAATGGATCTTGCATTATATTTATAACTTTTATCAAGCATGCTATCTGTTACCTTTGTCTGGAATCCGTGCTCACTCTACAAAGTCAATTTCTACCTCAGTCGCATTTCTTAAAAATGTCCCTAACTCAGAAATCTGCAAATTAGTGACTTGAGCCTCTGCCCACATTTTCACAGAACAGTATGTGATCACTTAGAGGTTCAGCCTCTGATACCATCTTTGGCTACGCAATATTATCTATCTTAACAGACTCCACTCCAAAACTCCAGACCTCCATGGTGGTCCACTGTGAAGTCACCTATAGTAGAACGCCTATTAGGGATACTACCTGAAGAAGAGGAGGAAGTATTCACCCTGTGCAGTAATAATGGTTCTTTGAGATATGTGTATCTCTGGGTTTTCCATAATCTTCTCTTTCTTCTCCTCTATTTCAGAATTCTGTATAAGGGGCTCTGCAGTAGAGGAGGATTTGCCTATGCAGTGCCAGAAAGCCACAAGGCAGATCATAAGGGAGGGAGAATACGTGGGCTGAATGGACATTGCTGCCTAAAATCTCTGATTAGAGGTGCCAGGGCACAGATACACCTACAGTGAAGCACCCATAGGGACACACATTTCAAAGAACCATCATTACTGCCCAAGTGAGTAACTTTGTTTTTTAATTGTAACTGACTTTCCCACAGACTCTTTTTATATTCCAGGGATGGGGAACCTAAGTCCTAGGGGCTGGATGTGACCCCTGGTTTGTCACTTGTGTGCAGCCCCTGACTTTTTTTTTCTCACCTGTATGCAGCCCCTGACTGATTTGTGACTCAGAAGCCCCCACTCCAAAAAAAGGTTCCCCACCCTGCTTTATTTCAATTACAGATTGGCTTATAGGGTGGAAGTGCTATATCTGAACATTGGATTCTTAGTTGATATAATAGGCATCACAGGAACTTGGTGGAATGAGGACAGTCAGTGGGACATAGTCATACCAAGGTACAAAATATACCAGAAGGATCAAGCAGGTCATGCTGGTGGGAGAGAGGCACTGTGTAGAATCAAATGAAGTAAACATTTTAAATGAACCAAAATGTTCCATAGAATCTCCATGCTCTAATAATAAGAATATAGTAGTATGTTATCAACCACTTGAACAGGATAGGGATAGTGACTATGAAATGCTATCAAAATAAAAAACTCAATAATTATGTTCTTATACAATCCATTTTAGCCTATCTCCTCCGCTTGAAGAACCAAGACCTAGTGCTTCCCTTCAACAGAGTCCTCCTGGCAGCTATCTCTGCCTTCCACTGCCAGTTTAAGGGTGGTCAGTGTTCTTTCATGAGATGATAGGCCTGGTTCTTAAAAGGTCTAGAGAAGCTTTTTCCAACTGTCTGTCCTTGCATTCCTCACTGGGACCTTACCTTGGTTTTCTGCAAGTTCACAAAGCTCTCCTTTGAGCTCTCGCATTGTGCTCTCTTTCACACCTGTCTTGGGAGGTGACCTTTTTTGTGGCTATCACTTTAGCCAAGAGGGTCTCCAAGCTCCATGCCTTGATCTCAGAGCTACCATATACAGTGTCTTTTTAAGAATAAGGTGCAGCTCTGACTCTGCCTGTCATATCTCCTCTTTCCACATGGATCAGGACATCTTCTTTCTCATCTTCTACCCTATGTCTTATAGCTCTAATCAGGAACAGCTCCTCCACACCCTGGATGTGAAGAGTGCACTTGCCTTTTACCTGGACCTCATCAGGCCCTTTTGCAAGTCATCCCAGTTCTTTGTTGCTTATGCTGACAGAGTGAAATGGATCCCGGTGTCTAAACCGAGATTTTTCCAAATAGATAATCTCTTGCATCTGAGCACGCTACGACCTGAAAGTCTCCAGCCTCCTTTCCTGGTGAGGTCACACTCAACAAGAGCACAGGCCTCCTCAGCAGGCTTTCTGGCTCTCATTCCCATCCAGGATATCAATCCATACATTTACAATGCACTATATCATCACACAACACGCCCAACAGACTGCTGGGTTTGGTGGAGCCGTGTTGCAGTCAGCAAGTCTTTAAACTCCTCCCTCCACCAGAGACATGGCTTGTAGTCACCTACATTGAATGGACATGAGCAAGTACTTGAAGAAAAGACAGTTACCTGTTTCTGTAACTGGTGTCCTTCGAGATGTGTTTCTTATATTCATTCAGCACCCTGTCTTCTTTCCCCAGTGTCATAGTTTCTGGCAAGAAGGTACTGAGGGTGGGGGCCAGCAGCACCCTATATAGCATGGCATGTGTGCGCAACTCTGTGGGAACCATA